TTGGGATCATGTACCTTTACATGGCAAGTCTTGATTCTCATTTTTTTCCCCTTACCTCTGCCCTCCCTTCACCCCCTCCTCCCCTCCCCATCTACAAACACTTTATTTTCATCTTTTCATTCTCTCACATTTTTTTCTTTTCCCTTTTTGTTCTTCCCCTACGTATCACACCTTCCCTACACCTTTAGCTCCTTTCCTCCCATTTCTAAATGTCAGTAATCTTATTAAAAATATGGAACGCTTCACGAATTTGCGTGTCATCCTTGCGCAGGGGCCATGCTAATCTTCTCTGTATCGTTCCAATTTTAGTATATGTGCTGCCGAAGCGAGCACTTGAGTATCTTCTTTGATTTTTTACACATATGTTTTTCTTTTGCTTTTCTGGTCCAGATGTGCACTTGCTCTCTCTCTCTCTCTCTCTCAACACATTCTTCTAGGTTTTACTTTGTGGGGCCTCCTATAGTGAAATATGTGATGTCTATGCATTACATGTTTACTGAAAGCAAAGAAATTGTCACCTTAACTTTCTTGAGCTGCAACATTCTTCAGAGACAGTCTTCTTGTGGATCACCGTCCCACCCAGATCTGGATTCCATTTGTCTTTTTCCAAGCATGCAAGGCCAGGGGCAATACAAATGCACTCAGCAGGTTGGAATATCTAACAGAGAATGGAAAAGAGGAAAGGAATTTCATTTATATTTGATCTACATCTTGTATTCCTCATTCCAAACTCATCAAAGTCTGTCCTCTTTTGTTGGCAATTAATAAGCATAGAGGTGGCTGCTAGTCCACGTGGAAGGAAATACCGGAGTGAGGAATACGTGTTTCCCCATAAAAAAGTACTTAGCACAGTGCCTTAAATGAAGTTAGTATTCAATAAATGCTATTACATAAGCAAAATAATTAAGAAACTGAGATGAAAGTTATTTTGTAGTTTGTTGTTTATAGACATAGCTAAAGGAGTAGAAAAGTATAAGTGGTAGAGACAGGGAAACCAAGTACATTCTACAAAGTTAGGTTTTCCTCTCTGGTTTTTTGAGTAAAACTATGCTTTGTTTTAATTATCATCCATGAATATAATCTGCCTCAGACATATAGCTCCCACACCAAAAAAATTTACTGATATTTTTTCTTGGATCTCAGGGCCATAGAATTAAATTAACCCTAATCTCTGGTTATGACACATTCCCCTCCCTTTTTCCTTCCTTCCCTTCCTTAGTCCTCTTGGTCCGCTTTGTTCCTCCTCCTTCCTCATGTGCTCATTTCGGGGAGTCTTAAACATAAATACCTCAATTGTCTTTATTTGTTGTGCTGAATTTGGAATTTGTATAAACATTGAAAGTGATAGACTTTCCACATCTGGAGGAAAAAAACTGACATTTCTTTTGTTGTCCCCCAGCATTTTAAAGGCATAGAAGTCTAAGTGTGGTTTTGATTCAAACTTTGCCCTATTAGCCAACCACAGGGAGTCTGGGTTGAGTTAGAGGGAATGTAACAAAACCTGACAATGGAAGTCTAGTGTGGTTTGAAGTTTCATTATGAAACTTCGATGTCCTTCTGCTTTTCACCCAGTTGTGTCATAGAAAAACAACCAAACCAAAATTCGTTTCAATTTTTGCTAACCATCTGTTTAGAGTAACATACATACATGATTAATATTTAAACATCCTGTATTGTAACTAGCAATGTAGCATAACATGTTAAAATTAAATTATATACTTCCTCATAAGTATTTTCTTACTTTCCTTTGATTTATAAATATGATCACACACACATACATGATACATATAGCTGTTCCTAGGTATTCATGGGGCACTGATTCTGAGACCTTCCTGGGATACCAAAATCCAAGAAGTTCAGAGGTCCTGCATAAGATGGCATAGGAGGGTTGGGGATTTAGCTCAGTGGTGATGCTGCCTGCCTCACAAGTGCAAGGACTGGAGTTCAGTTCCCTGTACCAAAAAAAAAAAAAAAA